CCCCCCCCCAAGTGAGAAAGGTATTTATCCACCTAGGATATGAGTATCACTTACCCAAGTATCTGATACCCAGGAAAATAAATTTTCCCTGGTCTCCACATAAATCTGAAAAAAGAACATGGGTTTCTTGATCAATGGGAATCAAAGTCCTGTTGACCAACTTTTCCTCCTCTCACAATCTAAAAGAAGAAGGCCCCCTTACAGAAGGATTTATTAGAGTATTAATAAGGGTGGTAGTCTAGGTCCATATACAGTGGGAATGCATCTTTGACAATTGCAACATCTGAAACCACTACAATCTCGGCATAGTTTTGCTTGATCCTATTGATGCCTGCAATTTTAATCTTTAACAAGAGTTTTGCTAATGGAATTGTCGCTGCATGCAAGCTTTCATAGAATTGTCATTTGGTGTGGGGCCCCGGGTTGTGCAGAATAGAATTTTACTCGTATGGAATTGAAGATCGTATTTGCTGTTGTTGATTAATTTCGACCAGTTTTTACTTTTAGGCTATAAAACACCAGGGCTTCCTTTATTAACCAAGAACACCTGCTCTATTGATCAAGGACGACGGACCAGTCCCTTGATTGTATGATTAATATTCCTATTCTTTGGTGTGAGCCATAGTCCGGTAGTCCCCACTCCCCAGAAGGGATCAACAAACAGGGGATTACATCAGGACTTGTCTGATGCAGTGCTTAGGAGTTAGGAGTTTATGGCAGCAGAAGCAGCTGCAAATAGTCCTCTTTTTCTGGTCAGCGACGATGGGGGGGGGGGGAGAGACCAAGGCAAGAGGGAGACGATAAGAGGGAAAGAGATTGCATTATGAAATAATTGTAAGGTCAGTTATTGTTGAATAGAACAGAGTGTTGGACAGTTGATAAACAGCAATTGTGTGGCATAAATATATATACTTGGATGGATGAAATGGCAGTGGTTAATAGTATTAACTCCATTACAGATAAATGTAGTTGGATGGAAAAGTTACACAGGGATAACATTAACACTGTCAGGAGCTTTTTTTTTTTATGTATGTATTATCCACCATGTAAATAGAAAACACAATATGTTGGCACATGAGGTAGCTCAAAAAGTTTGTAGGAGCGGTTCAGATCTGCTGTTTCAGCTGCCTCTCCAAGGTTTTGATGTAAACCTTTTTAAATCCATAATATAATTTTCTAGTTTTTGTTTGGTTAAAAAAAGATTTAAAAACTTATGATTTGACAATGAAAATGGGCATTGAACAGGAGGGATTGGTGAAATAGGATTCATGTCATGGTTTTTAAAACTGAACCGGTCAGGGGTCCGGTTATTGGTTCGAACAGTCCGATTGTTCGATTTGAATGGTCGGCCCGTTCTGACAAAAAAAAAATGTAAAAAAATTGATAAACAGCCAAAACTGTTCGAACGGTTCAAACGGTTAACCGGCTGATTCAACGGTTTGCTGACCAAAATCAATAGTTTTGGGGAAAAAAGCGGTTTTGAGAAAAAACGAGACCAGTTCCCGATTTTTCCAATCCAACTGTCCGGTCTGATCTGGTTTTGAAAACCGTGATTCATGTAGCCAAACCCTTCAGGAGAAGGCGTAAATGATGATAATGGTGCTTAAAAAATGCTCCTATGGTATAGTTTTGTTTCAAAACTAGCACGAGAAATGTATTCTTGAGGTGTATAATTGTCATGTGTATATTTTGTTTAAAAAAAAACAAAAACAAAAGCAACTGCTGCATTCGTAAAAACAATATTATTTTGCTGATGTGGCAGCTGCCATTTTTCAAAATAAAATCATGCATACCGGTGAACATCCACTTAATTATTTATCTTTTGGTTCAAAAACATAATTTTTTTTCTAATTGATTTAATGTCATGTTTCATAAATTATACAACATTCATATAGAAATTGTCTTATTTTTGGTATTCACACATTACAAGGGAATTAAGGGGACATTGATATATGTGGTGTGAGATCATTTTGATAGGCTGTTGGAATGAATTTTGTTGACAGGTGATCCAGACTCACAGTTATGCAGACCTGATCTTGACCCTCCATTGTAGGAGGGATGTTGAGTGACAATTTCAGTGATTGGGCCATCCAAAATAGAAATTTTATTAATATTTATTAAAAAATAAATACATCAAATCAGTAATAGAAATTTTAATTGAATACCTACTCTCACTTTTCTTATTTTATTTAATACTTTTGGTACAAATTCATTTGAACGCGAGTCTGAATGATCCATAGGAACTTTGAACCAACACTTTAGGAGAGTGTACAAGAGATTTTGGTGTAAACCACATAATGGAAAATATTTTTATTTTCTTTTAAAAAGACATTCAATATTTCTTAATGAAAAAAGGAAAACAATTTGATTCAAATACTCTATGTAGGTAAATTTTGTGCATCTCTATACCATACTTATCACATCATATATTAGAGTTTTATTTTTTAAGCCCAAATGTATTAGCGCTTAAAAAAAAGTTATAATCTTATAATTCTTTATAGGGAAAATTCCCGATCAATATCCTGTACTTTGGCTCTAGTGCCAATTTGGCCCCCAAACTTTAAAATGCAACAATCCAGTATCCAAACTTTCAAAATGTGACAATTCAATACCTAAACTTTCAAAATGTGATAATCTAGTACCTGATGTTAATCAGTCGTTAAGTGATTTGAAAAGTCAAAAATGCCCTAATAATGCAATCTAATTCTCTTTATCAAGCATCTAAGCATTGACAATAAAATGAATAGTCCCAAATTCTAGATTCTTCTAAACAGTCGCCAACTTTTTTAAATAGAAGTGGCTAACTTGCTAAGATTTGGGACTGTTTAGTTTTTTGTCAATGTTTGGATAGTTCATAAAGAGAATTAGATGCCACTCGAAGGGCATTTTTTACTTTTCAAATGTCACTTAACGGTTGATTAACGGACTAGTTAACGGCAGGTACTAGATTGTCACATTTTGAAAGCTTGAATACTAGATTGTCACATTTTGAAAGTTCAGATAGTGAATTATCGCATTTTAAAATTTAGGGACCAAATTGTCACTCAAACCAAAGTACAGGTACTGATCAAGAATTTTTCCTTCTTTATTATACATGTATTCAATACCAAACGCTCCCAATACTGTCCTAGCGAATTAGTTGTTGGGATATAGTTGGTAGCATATCTCAACTAAAATTACACGTGTCGGTTGCCTTGAGATACTAGGATACGATACGTCCGATATTTTGAACCGTTTAAGTCGAGAGAATTTTGATGTATTCGTACCATACGTCACGTGTCCTCTTTACAGCTTAAGAAGCAGAATAAGAAACCCTGGTGGTGGAAGAAGGGGATCAGGACTTTCAACAACCACCCGTGTCCAAATGGTGACGAACCGTTTTTTCAGGCATGAAAACGTGAATTTTCCATTAATAACCAAACTGCCACAAAAGTAAACATCAAAACCCTCTTGGCTTGGGCTGCAGATCATCTCCTGCACTCTCCTCTGCCTTCTCTCAGGGAACGGAAGATCATGGTCTTGGTTCGGTTCTTCTAGTTCCAGCCTAGATCATGATCTTTTGTTTTACTTGCATTTCTCTATAACCTTTTTCTTTTTATTTTACAATTTTCCTTCTTGATAGCTCTTCTGTCGTTTTATAATCTAATCTGCTTTTTTGATTCATTGCCGGGCTTTTTTTTCCTGATTTCTGGTTTGAATTGCTGTTTCTTTCCTGATTGATTCAGAGTTTCTTTGTTTCTTGTTTTTCTTAAAGAGTTTAATTAATTAAGACATGGGGTCTACATCATTCAAGCAGTTCGAAGAACAGAAGCTTAGAAAATTTCCATATTTTTTTATCTACGCTTTATTCGAATGGATTTTGATAATCCTGCTGATTATCGATGGCCTGATTGCTTTTGCTGCCAATGAATTTGCCCGGTTCTTCGGAATGAAAATCCCATGCCTGTTCTGTTCGAGGATCGATCATGTTCTTGCTAGCAGAGATCCTTATTTTTATTACAACGACTCGATCTGTGAAGCTCACAGGAAACATGTGTCGTCCCTTGTGTATTGCCATGTTCACCGCAAACTATCTGATATTCGACAAATGTGCGAGGGTTGTCTCCTTTCTTTTGGTAGCGAGAATAAGTCTGACTATGAGACATGCAAATCTCTGGTTGGGATATTGGGCAGAGATATTAGATGCTCTGTCGAGGATGGTCGCAGAATTCATTTGAGATTGCCGTGCAGAGGGAATATGGACACTTCGCAGGTTGAGAAAAGCAGCATGCATCGGTGTTCTTGTTGCGGGGAGCCTCTGAGGATTAAGCCCTCATTTCGACGGGGATTCCTTCCGTGTCTTCCATCGAATGAGTGTGATTTTCCTCAAGCTCCAGCTTCTTCTCCAATCAAGGCAAACGATGAAGAACCACGCGGCTTCGATCAGGTTCAGATACCCCTTATTCGATACACCGAAGCAAAATTAGTGTCAGACACCGAATCAGAGATTCCAGAGGATGATGAGAGCTTAAGCACAATAACTGAAGACAATCAATGTATGTAAGATGATAATTTTCTGGGTTGTTCCCACCTATAATTTTCCGTGATATGTTGTCATTCATTTTGTGGATGCATTTTGTCTAATAGGTAGGGAAGATGTCAAAGGCGCCATTGTGCCGTTCATTACAGAAAACGAGGATTTGAATGAAGATCCATGCAAGACACCTAATCTTATCAGAGGAAACAAGTTGCTTGGAGTCACAGTCGCAGACTCAGCAATATGGCTTGCTAAACTTCCTAGGAAGCTGCAAACTGAAAAGATAGAATCAGGTGCAGAGTCCTGGGAAGGAATTGCTATAGGTGAAGGAGATGATGAGGCCACCCTGGATTGTCAGAAGAGACAGGTCCGCGTTGATCGCAAGTTCTTGATTGCCTTATACACGGAACTAGATAAAGAAAGAAGTGCTTCTGCAGTCGCTGCAAACCAGGCAATGGCCATGATTACCCGGTTGCAGGCAGAGAAAGCAGCAGTTCAGATGGAGGCCTTGCAATATCAGAGAATGATGGAGGAACAGACCGAGTACGAACAAAAGGCCTTGCAAGTTGTCAAGGATCTACTTAAAATGAGAGAGGGCGAAATCAGGGCTTTGAAGGCGGAGCTGCAGGCTTACAGAGAGAAAGAACATGGAATTGGTGCACTTGAGGCACAAACTGATGATGGTTGCGTTAATTACTTAACTCGATCTGATTCATCAGTCAGTTCATGTTCAGAATGGGGTAGCCCTTTAGCTTATTTCAATGAAATGGAATTTTACGGGGAAAATGGACATTATTTTGTTCAAAGTGTTCCGTCACAGGAAGAGAGTGGAGAGAGAATTATTGATGAACCGCTCTTAGATTTTTAAGGTGAGAGATTCTATTCACTCCTCTACAGGTGATGGGCTTCATTTCTTTCTGCCCAGTTCTAACAACATTAACCTTAACAAAGAATACGGAGGTGATATTCAAAGTTATTATAGTTTTTTTTCATTGTTTCGGTCCTAATGTAACTGAGTATCAAATGTTTTTTCTATTGTGGCAGGAGATGCAAGTATAACATCCTAACCAAAGAAATATGTAAACTAAGTGAGAGGTTAGAGGCCCTTGAGATAAATAGAGAGTTCTTAAAGCATTCTGTCCGATCACTTCAGAATGGTGGTGAAGCGGTACAGCTTTCTGAGGGAGATAGTCCAACATCTACGGGAGCTTCAACAGTTAGAGAAAAAGCCCTAGGAGAGCGTTTGTTCTTGAGGTTCGTCTCGTCCCATTTGTTTTGCTGATGACTACCTTCTTAAGGGCCTGTTTTTGCTTTTTCTGTAGGCACTTGATGGTATGATATTTTGGCTGATTGAAAAGCACAATATGGCAAGAAATAATGTACTGATTACCAACCTAATTGATAATGCACGGTGAAAAAAGAATGAGAAGGAAAAAAAACATATAAAGGAAAAGAAAAAAAAGAGAAAAGAACAAGGATTTTAAGTAAACCTCAAATGCTATTCAGTTATTCTCTCTGGTAGGCACCACTAGAATTGGCTAACTTATTTAGTGTGTGGTTCCTTATATTTAGCAATGAAAAAGACTATTGTGTCCCTTTACTTTTCGTTATTGCAAACTACATAATTTTTATTGACAAGGCTAGTGACAGCATAGATGCAGAGATTAGGATTTCAAAGGAGTCTTTCGATTCAAAGGTTTCAAAATTAGGATTTCAAATGACTTATACTTTTCTTTTTTCCTACATTGGTACATTTCTTTTGTTACCTTTTAAAAAATGACAAATAAGTCACTTGTTTTAATTCTAACAAGAAGTCCCAAAAAGTCATTATAGAATCCCTAAATTGTCTATTAGAGAAGCTCTTAATGTATAAGCTTCTGATTAAAAAAAAAAACTTACCCCAACCAAGGATCCTGTTTTCATTACTCTATAAGGACCATATCATTTGCCAAGTTGTAGGTCCCCAGTCCCACAAAATAGAAAACTTCTAAAGGGTTTTACAATTCTTAAATATGTTAAACTAAAAAAATTAATTATTAGTCTAAATTAATTAAAAATATATTTGAAATCAAATAATTGATTTTTAAAGTAGTTGTGTGATGTGAAATGCATTTCCTCTTAGGGAAAAAGAAAAAGGGTGGGTGGGGATGATGAACACCAAAATTTTGAAAATCAATCGAGTTAACTTCATCCATTAAAAAACCCCAAAAACTCCTCCCCCCCGCCGGGTTATGAAAAGCTTACCTTGTGTCATAGTTATTATGTAAAGATATGTCCATAAATCTGTTTCCCCAATAGGTTTCCTAATGAAAAATAATAACCCAATCAAAAAACAGGCTGCACGTTAATAGCAGTCTCTCTGTTAAAAATTACTGGAAATAAGTACCTGGAAACTAATTTTCAATTGAAAGAGAGCAACAAAGGAATTGCTGTTTCAAATACCATTCCATCTCTTTTTCTAAATCGACCGTTCTAACCTATTAGTCTTTATTGAACAGGGTTTTGTTTTCATTGAGTTGGGTTTCAGGCCTATTTCGATTTCCACTACCAGTGGTAAGATCATTGTATTTTAATAGCAAATACTTTTTTTATCTTCTTTGATATCATTAACATATGTTTTTTTATATTCTTTTTCATAAATTGTATTAACTACATTTTTCTTTGCAAAATTGCAATAGTTTGTTTGTGGTCTTTCTGGAGGTTTATTTGTTGTGTTTTATGAATTACTGCTTCTTCCTTTCTCCTCTATATGTTATTTGTTCAGATCTGTTAAAACAGATTGTTTAATTGTATCAAATTCTGTGTTATATTTAAGTGTAATAAAATAAGAGAAAGAACCACATAGTGCTTCAATTAGGATAGAAATTAAGTCAGTTATGTGAAATCATCATTGTCTTCTAGGCTATGTCCCAATTATATGTGGTTGGCTAGATGAATCCTCTGTTCTTCCATTTTGTTCTATTCAATGCCGGATCCATTGTTAAAATCAATTATGTAAAATGCCCAACAAAAACATTTCATACAATCTTTACACCAATATAAGACAATTTCAACAAATAAATATTTTATTCATTGACTAGAATTCTATAAATTCTTTCTCGTTATTACTCCTTCCTCCCTGATGCTGCCACAAAAAAGGGAGAACCATATCTATTCCCATTAATGTACAAGAGAGAAAGATTGTTAAGATAAGGCACCCGAAGTTGTGATGTATGTTCAACTTTGATATGCAAAACTTAAACTTTAACCTCAGGGCATTCTCCTTAAGCATCATTTAAAGGTTTAAGCCTCGAGCAATTTTAAATTAAAAATCTTTGATCTCATATGTTTTTCAATGACATGTTCTAAATATTATATTTTAGAATATGCATCTTTCTCAGTCCAAAGAAAATATTTGTCGTCTCTTATAAGTAGTGCTCAGCTGACGAAATGAAAGTTGTCATTGCATACATAGAAATATGAATTCTGTCTTTCTGTACAGGCATAAGAGCAAGAATGAGTGCAAGGACGGCAGGAAGTTGAAAGAAGCCTTTGAAGGTAAACTCCCATCCCCATCTTGCATTATGCTTAAGAATAACTGCTGAATTGACACCCTTTTAGTTCTTATTAGGATGCAGGGAGAGTGTAGATATGCTAGATAAGGTACATATAAGGGTGCTTAAAATTTTGTACCTGGTGACGAACTACTTGTTAATGGTGAGCTCGAACAACTTGCAACGCTCCAGGACATTAGGCTGTTCAGATAATGTTCAGTTTTGTTGTATGAAAACTGTTGTTTCCGGTAATGATTCAATTGATTGGTTATATTAATGAATTTATATTCTTAAGGAGCCTGAATTTATTCTTGATCTCCTCTCATCAAATATCAATATGGATGCGGATCACTTCCTTGTATTTTGGGTGATTTGTGTCAGTCTGAGAGCTATTAAGAGGCACTAGAGATGACAGTTGCCTACAACCACATCTTTACCTACTCGTACATATAGCTTGTCGTGGTGTTTACAGTTTACCTTGAGCCTGTGAAGGATACTTCTTATAAGGACAAGAATAATGACAGACGCTTTCAGAAAAGAGAAAGGACGAACGAACTTCGCATAAAAGGAAATATATAAAGAGACATAATAGGACCAGTGATGGTACTTGAGGATTAAGTTACACTTTCCAACCATTTATATTTTTAACCCAAACAATAATGTAATCTGAAAGTTGGACTTGGTTGTGGTAAGCGGTTTTCTATAGGACAAGGACAGCCATGAGAACCACCAAAAACTATAATGGGTTTGTCAGCTCATGGAGTCACTATTGAAAAGAAAGCTGGATGATCTATTACTTAACAAATTTATATATTGTGACTATATTGTCTGTCAACAATCTCAAGAAAAGTGATATAATAGAGAGCTTTGGAGATTGTCTTGCATATGGAAATACTGAAAGCGAGGGTGGGCGTGCTGCATGGACAATGGCAATGTTATTGTTCTAAAATTTGCAGATTTGTTGTCGAATGACCAGGCTAAAAAGCATATTATTAAAAATTTAAAATTGAGCCTTACAAAGTCAGACCTCATAATCCTGATTAATAATAGGATCTATTCTGGATCGATTTCTTACAGACCACATAAGTTCTGGGTTGGGGTGTTTTCTTATCGGGTTGGAACTGGGTCTACAGTGAACGGGCCCAGTCCTGACCCATTGATAGTTCCACATATGAGGTAACATTAACACATTTGTATTTTGCTGTCTTTCTTCTCATTTCAAAAGATTTGAGACTCAAAACAGACAGCTGCGACCTGCGAGCGGTTCCCATGTTTTGAGACTAAAGTATTTTATTAGCCCTCTATTTCTTAAAATTTATTTTTCAGACTAAACAGTTATTATTTCTGTCACTTTGTAACGAAACCATTGTTTCACTCCCAAAAACGGTTGAATCAGTCAATGATCCATTGACCTGGGTGGTCAAACTATCAACCCGTTGATCAGGATGGTCGAATCATTGACCCATTCGATAATTTTTTACCTTTTTGTTTAATTATTTTTAAATTTTTAAATTTTTTGTCAGAATGGCCCATCCATTCGAACTGGACAATCAAACCATTGACTCAAAATCCGGTGGTCAGAATGGTTCCTATTCTAAATCGTTTTTTAAAACATTGTTTAAAATTAGGGGTTTTTACCGTTCAATCCACCCCTAGGTGGAGCTAGGATTTCTAGGGATGGACTGAAATCCTGCCCATGAATTGATGCCGGATTCATGGACAGGATGCAGTTTATAGGGGGAGGGGGGCTACTAGTAGACAAGGAATGGGCTGCAATTCAGATTTCTGAAGGGGATTGCAGTCCAAAAATCCCTTAAAATTATTAGGCTCACATTTTTTTGATATAAGTGATCTCGTATCTGTGACCAATTTTAATTGCGGAACAAAACATCAATGCAAGAATTACCTTTGCCAGAAATTGGGACAATCTGATAACCCTAAACATTCATTACTCGTCCTGTTCCATTACATCCCCTAGATGCAGCAATCCTAATCAAAGAATTGGGTATACATAAACCAAACTAGTCATTGATTGTCTCACAGGAATCCCCTGGAAAATACAAGGCCTCACTCGAGACTATGACACATCTAGAATATCACAAATGATTTAGACACATTAGTCTTGAGGGCAGTCCGGCAATGAATCTCCTTGCGAACCTGGATCCCTGCCATTCTAGAGGATAAGCTTGGAGTTCCAACTTCCAAGGCTCCTGGGGTGCATTGGGTTTTGTTCAGTGATCCCAGTGGTTTTCTTTGGCCACGATTGGGTTGGGCTTTCCTGAATGTCCAAATTCAAAAAAAAAAAAAAAGCCTCCTGAAAAGTACAAAATGTAATTAAATAAAACATTACATGAAAGCTTAATGCAAATAGATTAATGCCCCGTTTGGCACATATTTCCGTGCAGGTTGTTGGTTGTTAGAAGCCAGGTAGCTTGCGTTTTAGCCTTTTTCCCATTTGGTTGTGGGAAGATATAGCCTGGAAAGACTGCCCCAAAAGGATGGGCGAAGCTTAATTCAATTTTATTTCAGGAAGCTAGAAATTGAATTTATTCCCTTTTTTCATCTTATCTTTGTGTGAAAAGACATGTAAAAAGATGCACTGCCAATCAAACGGTCTGGAGCTGCCAAAATCTTAATGTAAAAGCTCATTATGTCTTTTAATTGTCAAATATTTCAAAAGATCTTTCAAAGAAGACTTGTTACATGACACTTAAATTTAATATTTGAAAACCTATCAGCAAAATAGTTTTTGTTATATGCTCAGAGAAAAGAAAAATGCTGCTGGATAAAATTAACTGAAATGTAATTGGTAACGGAGGTTTGGTTATCGATCCAAAATCTTATAGAACCAATTCAATATGTAATTCAATATCAGGCACTTCTCTGATACATGTGCAAGATGGTAGTTAAAATGTCTCGGTTGTTATTGTAGCTACAAGAGAAATTAATTACAGAATGAACAGCATGGCCAAGTTTCTCACTCCTGCATTAATAGAATTCGGATTTCTTTCTTACATCAACCTCGTAGCACTTACAACTGTGTATTGAAAATATCTCGCCATGAATAAAAACATATAAATAGTAGAAAAATTTTTAATACACAGCTGCAACATGCTGTGTGAAGAGGAAATCGGAACTGGATCAATGGTATACTTGTTTTTCAAGGAAACAGGACTTATGGCAGAGAGAGAGAGAGAGAGAGTGGTGGTCACATGCGACCCCCAATGAAATACGAACAGGCCAGTGTTTTAAGCCAAATACTAGTTGATGTATGATTTGTTTTCTCCCCTTTTTTCCAAGGTATGTTTGCATTTTATTGAGAGGTTTCCGGATTATCCAGCAACCATGGTTACAGGAAATGTGATCTCTCCACACTGAAGATTGGCTTGTGCAATGGGGCAGGTGCCTCCCCATTAAAGGGCGTTTTGTGGGTCTGTGTCCATTATCTTTTAATCAGTTTAATTAAAAAAGGTTTAAAAGAGACTATTTCAAGTCGTCATCGATTTCGTTTATTAATCAAATCAAATTTGGATATTACTGGATGCAACTCAGGCACAAAAGACCATTTTTTTAGTATTTATTCGTTTAGAACCATGTAGGATTCGGTATTTATAATTTAAGATAAGCCTATTTTTTTATATACTTTTGTTTTCATTTAGTCAATAGAGTATTATTGTACCTTATTTATTTAAATCTTAAATGTAGTGCTGTTAATGTATCTATGGAATAAATATATTTCCAACCTGAGTGTGAATTTGACAGTGGTTTATGTTGAGATGAATAGATGGAAAAAAAAAAAGAAAAGATAAGGTTAGAAATGAAGTCATTCCAAAAAATTAGGAATAGCTCCAATAAGTGATAAAATATTAAAATGTGAGTAAAATAGATTAAGGTCATGTTTGGGAGTGTTTAAAAATAAGTGCTTATTTGGGCCATTAAACACTTATTGGTATTGGGAAATAAGCCTGAAATAAGTGCTTATTTTAAAAATAAGGACTTATTTTTTAAGCCCAAATTTCTAGCTTTTTTAAGTGCTTATTATTCAATTTTTTCTTCCAAAATTACTCCTAGTTGAATTTTATAAAAGTACTTTCATAAAAGTACTTTTATAAAAACACTTTTATGAAAGTACTTTTACGAAAACACTTTTATAAAAGTACTTTTATGAAAGCACTTTTACAAAAACACTTTACCAAAGCACTTTTAAGAAAATACTTTTATGAAAGCACTTTTACGAAAGCACTTTTAAGAAAGTACTTTTATAAAAACACTTATAAAAGCACTTTTATGAAAGCACTTTATAAAAGCACTATTACAAAGGTACTTTTATAAAAGTGCTTTCATAAAAGTATTTTCTTAAAAGTGCTTTTGTAAAAGTGTTTTCATAAAAGTATTTTTATAAAAGTGCTTTTTGTAAAAGTGTTTTTATAAAAGTAATTTCATAAAAATGTTTTTTTATAAAAGTACTTTCATAAGTGTTTTTTATAAAAGTAATTTAATAAAATTTCTTTCAAAGGGTATATTTTGAAAATTTGAAAGAAAATGAAAGAAAATAGTCATAAATGCTTATTTAAGTGCTTATTAGAAAAAAAAAACTACTAAATGCACAATATAAAATAAGTGTTTATTTTAAAAATTAAGCACTTGAAAAAATTGGATGCCAAATGCAAATAAGCACTTATTTTTAACTTAAGCACTCCCAAACATGGCCTAAAATGATTTGGAAAGATGTATAGAAGATTATAACAAGAAGCTATAAGGTCTAAAAATAGATAAAAAAAGAAATAGGTTGAAGTAATAAGAATTGATTTAAGTGCTCATGATTTAACTATGGATATGGCCTTAACAAAAAAGAATGGCAAAACATGATTTATGTTTATGTTGCCAACCCTATATAATTGGATGTTAAACTATTATCTATTTCCAGTTTCCAAATTCCAACCTTACCTTTATATATTGTAATATTGATTCTGACCGTAACGTCCATAGAAAAAAAGAAAAAGAAGGAAAAAAGGAATGCTAAGCACGATTGGTCTAACAAGATGCATACAATGGGCTACATAACCCAATCAATAGTACTAGCTTGTCACTTGCCAGATTAATAACGAATGTTCACGGCTTCGTTTGATTAGTTAACAACTTCACATAAAAGACTAGTTTTGGAATCAACCTTCCATCTACAAATGACCATTGATGATTGAACGTAAGCTATAAAACAAGAGACCTTGTTATTGCTGCTTCCTTTTTTTTAAGAATACAAGACAAATTCCCAGTTAAAGCCTTTCCAAATTCCGAGTTCCCTAACTAAGAACAGCTTGGGAGCAGCAGTATAATTCCAAACAAAAGAATGATAATGATCTCTGTCTCTCTCTCTCTCTCTGCACTTAACAACAAAGCTCTTCCCTTCTAAGACACATCTACAAACACAGCAGAAAACAAGAAGCATCACCAACTAGTGGCAAAGATATAAAGATTACAAAAAATAGTCAGGAGTCTTGCGTGTGGTGTCAGGTTCAATTTGCCGTGGGGCAGGGTCAAATTGAAGAAAATTCTGATCCATGTTCTCCCCAATCTCTAGTATCGCCGCCATGTTACCACATCGATAACAATAGTTTGGGGCACTGAATACCGTAACTACATTCTTGTCCTGCAACCGTCATTGGACAATTAAACAAAAAAACAAGCAATTGATTAAATGAACACTGAATAATATGATAGATGAAGTAGAAAATCAGTCGGGCTTGGGCATTCATTTCCTTTAGGTTCACCTACCTGACACCAGTTGTACCCTTCCATTACGAGCTGATGGGCTCTTGAGATAAGGGTAAGTCCATTGGTGTGGTTGAACTGAGTAGCAATATCCTGTCCAAATGTGTAGCCAGCTCCCCGGGGAGATATCCCCCATCCACATCGATCGTCTGGATCAGACCACAAGAGGTCACACATTGGTCCCTCGTGCGGAACCTACTCAACACAGGGAAAGGAATATCAGAAAACCCAAGTCAACAAAGGCAAATGCTAATGGACCAACAAGTCAACAATCCCAATCAAACTTATTAAAAGGCAAGATTGATCATCATGGGATATTGATCAAAACAATGTTTTAAATCCACTGTTGACCCAGACGGTCAAACCAATCAAACCATCACCAGACACCTTTTTAGGTCCAATTTTTCTAAATGTCGGAAATTAATCAAAACTTGTTGACTTGGTCAAAACCCACCTAACCTGGGAAGTTGAGCTGTTGACCCATTTGACCTGGTCACAGGTTACATGTATATCAAAACGTCTAGAGGCCATTACTTTGTGCTCAGTTGTCCAATTGGGTTTATTTTTTCATTTTGGGTTGCTTTTCAAGATTTACACATTCCAAGGCACCAAGGGTGCCTTGTCCTTGTCCCACTATTTTTGCCAAAAATGCTTTTTTGGTCTCAAATCCCAATTTTTAGTATTTTTAAAAATAAAATTTAAAAACTGAGACAAAATAATATACATATATACATATTTTACATGCAGAATGAAATTATACAATATTTAAATGATATACATGTATATGTGTGTGTTGATGTGTCACGGTCTGATCTGTATGACCTGGACGGTTGAACCACTGACCCGAGATCTGGAGGCAAAAATGGTTCAGCCTCCAGGTCAGTTTTAAAAACAGTCTAAAAACATTAAAGACCTCCCAAGAGTCTTTCATAATCTTGAAAAATAATGGGGAGCTGCTTTCAGAACCTGCTTCATTCACTGAATATAAATAAGATGATTTCGAATGGTATCTCTGTTTGAGATACACACCTGGTGAATTAAGTAGTGAGCACCTTCAGATTAATGTTGAATGCAAGGAATTACAGAAAACAATGTTTTATTCTCAAATGACGACAACAATGTGGTATAGGTCATGGATATAATCAATAACAAAACAACATAGTAGTGAGCACCTTCAGATTAATGTCTGGATTAATTAAAAGTTGGATGTTTGAACAATATTGAAAATTTGCATCTTCTCAAAGATCTTTAACAAACAAGATGCTGGCTTCTTACACTATTTGTGAATAGAGATCAAAGTAGTTCCAGATAATTGGGCTATTTAAACTTTATTCCCATATGCACCTTTTTGCTTTTGTCAAGTTTTAGCATTGCAATTTGTTTGAGTCATTAGAATATACAGGAAAACAATGCTTGCTGCCCTGTTCCAAATGTCTTGCCCACCTATTATCTTAAAAAGTATGGCAATGATTAGCAACTGATTCATGTTATAGTTTTCAAAAAAGTTAAAAAAAAACCATTATGTTACGCTCTGTAATCCCACATTCTTTCCATGTTAAAATGGCTAAAATATATAGTTTCTGAAAACTAATATTGTAAAGAATTGAAACAAAGCAGCTACAATTCTTTCTCAAACAGTGAGGCAAAGTACCTTTCCAAAAGCAGATGTAAATGAAAGTAAAAATGCGGAATCGCATTTTTTGTATAGTGCAATTCTGCATTATAGTGCAAACACTTTGCCATCTTAATTTGGGTGGTTTATAGGTGCTTTCTTCTGTTTGTGTTGTTTGTACATCCCCCCCCCCCTGCTCCTTTTGAATATAACTGTTACCTTTTTCTCAAAAAAAGAAAAACAAATTGCAATCACAGGCGAAGTAGTTAAAAAGGTGTTGAATATGTGAAAAAGTAAAGGTCAGAATAGTAATACATACTTCTTGTATACGATCCAAGGCACGAATATTGTCCAACGTATCCAAAGACGGCGAGAGTCCACCATGCAAGCAGAAAATCTACATTTGGCATTAAATGCAGATCAGAAGTGATAGCTAAATTGACGTTAAAAAGATATGCACTGTTCTTGAATTCAAACCTGACTCTCAATCAGGGCTGTGAGAGGTAGATAATCAAAAAGATCGGTGAAATACTTCCAGACATTTGCATTTCCATATTTTCTCAAGCATTCATCATAGAAACCATATCTGAAACAAAAACCCAATATTAGTAACAATAGGTTTTGACCGTGCCACTGATGGAAATTTTAAGCTCATGATACTCCAACATAGGCTCTGTACTTATGCACTGTTTAACATGGCAAATAAAATAACTACACATCAAGAATTTACACACAAAAGTGGAGATTAAATCGTTTCCATTTTCCCTATAAATAGGGCTGCAACTTGGTTGGGTTGAGCTGGGTTTAAGGTCAATCTAGGCCCAACCCTAAGACTTGGGTGGCCCAAGCTCAAGGCCAAACTTGATCTGCCCAACCAAGTCCAGTCCAAACTAAAATTCAACACACTCAGGTTGGTCCTCGGTTCGGGCTGGGCTCAGGTTGATCAGTCAAGATCAGGCCAGTCTATTGGGTCCAATGTAGTATCAGAAGCAAGTCAAGAAAGAAGATTATATATACATATCATCAACATCCAAGTCTTGTCCCGAGTTCTAACTATATGGGGTCAGCAAAGCAACATGAATTCTGTTTTGCCATCTGTTCTATTTATTCAGTGGCTCAGTGCCATATTCATCATCAAATTATGGGCACTTGAATCATTTCTTTTTTTTTTTGAGAAAAAGTAATAGAAATTTATTAGATAAAATAAAGAGTACATGAAGAGATGCACAACAGAAAAAGGGAAAACTCCTGGGGATTACACTGAAATCAAGTTGTCACTATACATTACATCCATGCGTGCTCCTAACTTAGCTAAACCATCTGCAATAGAGTTTAGTTCCCTCGGTATCCAAACTTGCTCCCAGCTTACCAAGTGACTTTTTTTCCCTGCTGCCTTCCCAAAGGAAGCTCCTTTGAAGTATCTCAATCTTAGATCTTACTTTCCTTGGGATTTGGAAGACCGACAAATAATAGATTGGCAGATTTGCAAGAGAGGCCTTTAAGAGAGTGAGTCTGCCCCCTTTTGATAAATAGCACCTCTTCCAATTTGCTAGTTTCATCTCACATTTTTCCATCACCGGCCCCCAAAAGCTGAAATTTTTCAGGTTCCCTCCTAGAGGCATCCCCAAGTAGAGGATTGGCAAGGTCTCCACTTTGTATCCCAGAATGCCTTCAAAAGATTCCAGCATTGGTTATGTATCCCACAACACTACTTTTGGAGAAGTTGACCTTCAAACCAGTTACCCATTCGAAACAATTAATCACCCTCTTAGCATTGGTTATGTTGTCTAGAGATGCTTCCTAAGATAATGTCATCTGCGAACTGTAGATGTGAGACATGGAGAGCATCTTTTCCCACTTTGAAACCTTTTACCAAGTTGAGGCTTTTAGCTTTGTCAAAAAGATGGCTGAAGATATCTATCACCAATGTGAAAAGAAAGGGGGATAGGGGACAACCTTGTCTCAGACCTCGACTTGCCTTGAAGTAGTCTTTTGGTTCTCCATTTATCAACAGTGAGAACCAAGTTGATTCAATGCAGCCTTTACTCCACTTAGCCCACTTATCACCGAAGCCTTTAACCTTTAAAATTTGGTGAATACACTCCCAATCCACCTTGTAGTAGGCTTTTTCAAGGTCTAGTTTAACTATGGCCCCTGGCTTTCCATTTAGTTTTCTGTCTTCTACACATTCATTTGCTATAAGAATGCTATTCACTATTTGCCTTCCTTTCACAAAAGCACTGGTTTGAGGAGATTAGGTCTCCTAGGACTTCTTTTAGTCTTCTTGCTAGCACCCTGGTTAAAATCTTGTAAAAACCCCCTACTAAGCTAATCAGTCTGAAATCCTTTACCTCCAAGAGCACCCCTTTCCTTGGAACGAGACAAATGAAGTTGGAGTTCAATCCTTTGTTCACGATGACTGAGGAGTTAAAGTTCCTGAAAACCTCCAAGAGATCTTTTGCAATATCCAAACACAGCTGAAAAAAAGAACATTGGGAATCCGTCTGGACCCGGGGCCCTATCTCCATCCATTAGAAATACTGCCTCTTAGATTTCTTCCTCTTCAAACTCTCTTTCAAGCCAGATTTTCTTTTCTTCTGATAATTCTAACCCTTCCCACCTGTCCAGAGTGTATTGATTAGGAGATTCTTTAGTGTAAAGGTTCCTGAAGTAAGAGAGAAAGGCCTCACTAATTTCCTCTGAATCCTCCACTTCCCTATGACCTACTTTGAGTTTAGAGATGAGATTTTTCTTGCGTCTTCCTGAAGCATAAGAGTGAAAGAATCTGGAGTCATTGTCTCCTTTTAGCCACTTCACCCGAGATTTTTGTCTCCAGTAAATTTCTTCCCTTCTAATAAGCTTTTCCCATAGAGTTCTCAGGTCAGCTCTTCTCCTATTTGTTTCATCTAGGTTGTTGTTTTGATCTCTGAGGTCCAGCTCTTCTAGTTCCACAAGAATTTTACCCCTCTCTTCTTCAAAAGCCTTAAACTTCTCTCTTCCCCAAGCTTTTAACTTGCTTTTTAAGAACTTCAATTTCTGTAGCAGTCTGAAACCTGCCCAGCATTCCACTTTACATTCCTCCCACCAAGAGGCCAACTTCTTGCTGAAGTCCTTATGAGTGGTCCACATCTTTTCCAATCTAAAGGGGGTCTTGCAATTAAAACTCAGATCTGTTCTTAAGGCAATTGGCCAATGATCTGCGGTGCAGTGAGGGCAAAGTTCTTGAATCAGGTTAGGGAACTTCCCTACTCATTCTGAAGATACTAGAAATCTGTCAAGTCTGCAACTTATCGCATTTTCTTGCAGATTTGACCAAGTGAGCCTGCCACTATTGAGGGGGAGATCATACAAGTTGTGTCTATTCACAAAGCTTGAAAACTTCCTCATACTTCTTGTTGAAGTTCTACCATTGGAGTGTTCATTGATGAACCTTATGACATTGAAGTCGCCACCTATGCACCACGGAATATCATTGAATTCATGTACTGAATCCAATTCTTCCCAAAACCTTCCTCTTTCTGAATAGGAATTTGGCCCATAAACTCCCGTCATCATCCAATTAAAGCCATCTTTCTTATTAGTGAACAAGACAGATAGAAATATCCCCTTTGTCTACTTCTATACCTGAGACTTCTTCTTCATTCCAAGCAAGAGTAATTCCTCCTGAGGAACCTGTTGCAGGTACCACCACCCATTTTTTCCTCTGATTCCCCAAATTGCTTTGATCAGTTTTCTATCTACTACCTCTTTTTTAGATTCTTGTAAAATAAAGACATCTGGGTTTTCTCTTCTTAGAGTCTCTTTCACTAGACCCCTTTTCAGCTGCCCTCCCAATCCCCTGAAGTTCCAACTTAGAATCTTCATTAGGCCTCTCTTGTTGTATTTCCCTTAGCCACTCTGGTGAGATACCGCTCACCTCGGAAGCCCCTTCGAGGGTGGCTTAACCTCYWGAAAYAGRAAATGGGGAGGAAGAAGAGAAGGGAAGGTAGGAAAAGAGGGATGCAGTGAAAGAGAAAAACAGGGGATATTCATTCATTCCTTCTTTAAAAGAGTAGGGCTTTATATATCTGGC